GACGGGTGGGGATTGCGTGCTGCAGGGGGGCAGGCCTGGGGCTCGCTCCCCTGACGGTTTTCATCAAACCCCGAATATTACGCTGCAGTTCGTGTTGACTGGTAGCCCAACCCGGCTTTCTTCCTTTACAGTGAAGTAGAGAAGCCAGACTTGGTGTATTTAATATCCGATATTTCATGGCAGAAAGCCAGTGGTCACGCTGGTGGCGTGGCTGCCTCTGTGCTCACGCGTGGTACCCACAGCCGTAGGTGGGCTGTCCCGTGCAGCCTTGATTAGCAGCTGCTGCCGACTGACTCAGGAGATTCTGTAAAATCCACATGTATTTGTAGAAATACAAATAGAGTTTAATGTCCCAATGTAATGGTCACTTCCTTGAAGTGAAATTAGCTCTGGTTTCAAGGAAGAAAATGGAAGCATAACACATTAATTTCGGGCTGAATTGTGTCTCGCTCACCTGAGTTCCCAACTACAAAAAAGTCGTGCGTTTTCCTTATGGAAACCGTCTGGGCTGACAGAGTCCTGGAGGCCGTGGTGGGTGTTCATCATCCAGAATTCACGGCAACGCATCACTCACATCCATCTGGACCTCACATCTCAGGCCCTGACACCAAAAACACATGTTCCCCTCCACACTGTGTGCTTCGTGGAAGATGTTCTAACAAATTACTCATCTTAAAATAAAACACTGTCCAAGAAAAAGGCAAACAACTGAGTAGAAAAAGGGACCAAAGACATTTCACCAAAAAGAAGGCCCAGTAGCCATATGGAAAGGTCCTCAACTCCATTAGTCATCAGGGAGGGAAATGAAAAATAAATTGTAAATGTTTTAGGGTTCTCCATAGAAACAGACCATAGTGTGTGAGTGTGTGTGTGTGTGAGTGTGTGTGTGTGTGTCTGTGTGTGTTATATTTTTTTGGTTTTTTTGGCTGCACTATACGTGGCTTGTGGGATCTTAGTTCCCCGACCGGGAATTAAACCCGGGCCATGGCAGTGAAAGCACCGAGTCCTAACCACTGGACCGCCAGGGAATTCCCTAATGTGGAGATTTATTATGAGGACTCACATGATTATAGAGGCTGAGAAGTCCCCAGATCTGTGGTCAGCAGCTGGAGGCCAAGAAAGCTGGTGTGTAGTTCAGTTTGAGACTTGAAGGCCTGAGGACCCAGGGGGCCCATGGTGTGAATCCCAGCCCAAGGGCAGAAGATGAGGTGAGAGGTCCCAGCTCAACAGCGAGGCAGAAAAAGGGGCAAATCCCTCCTTCCTTCATCTGTTGTTCTGTTCACGCCCTTAGTGGGTTGGGTGCCCACCCACATTGGGGAGAGTGTCTGCTTTACCGAGTCCACTGATGCAAACGCTCATCTCATCCAGAGACACACAGACACACCCAGAAATAATGTTTAATCTGGGCGCCCTGTGGCCAGTCAAGTTGACACATAAAAGTACCCACCCCAATTTGATACCGTTACACACCACCAGAAGGGCTAAACTTGAAAAGAGCAGAAACTAGGCATTGAAGAGGTTGTGGAGCGGCTAGAACTCTGATGGTTGATCGGGGTGTAAGTTTATACAGCTGCTTTAGGAAGCGGTTTTGCAGTGTCGCCTGAAGTTAAAAATGCACGTACTCTGTGACCAGCAGTCCCGCTCTGAGTGAAGCTGGGTGCAGGGTGCATACGGCCACTGTCGTGGGCTGCATGGTGGCCCCTAAGGATGGCAGGTCCTCATCCCTGGAACCTGTGAATGTGACCTTACATGGTGAAGCCTTTGCAGACGTGAGTTGGGACACTGAGATGAGGAGATGATCCTGGCTTATCTGGGTGGGCCTTGCATGGCATCACAAGGGTCCTTTTTTCTTTTTTCGGCGCTCCCCAACCAGGGATAGAACCCGGGGCCCAGTCCTAACCAGTGGACCGCCAGGGAAGTCCCCACAAAGGTCCTTCTAAGAGAGAGGCAGAGGGAATGTAGACACAGAGGAGAAGACAGTGACCACGGAGGCAGAGATCGGAGTGGTGTGGCTACAAGGCAGGCAATGCCGGCAGCATCGGCAACTGGAAGAGGTGATTCTCCCCTGGAGCCTCCAGAGGGAGGGGGGCCCTGCGAACACCTAGATTTCAGCCACTGAAACTGCTTTCAGGTTCCCGGTCTCCTGAACTTGAGTTGGTCAAAGGCACGTGTTTGTGGTGATTTGCTCCAGGGGCCCCAGGAAACTAACAGAGCCCTCCAGACGCATGCACCAGAGCATCTGAAGAAGCGTGGTTGTCAAACTACAGATGACCCAAGGTCCACCAGCCGTAGACTGCTCTGTACACTGGGGCTTATCGCACATGGAAACCATCCAGCAGGCACTGCAAGTGTGTGCAGTGGCCTGGATGAGTCCTGCCACGTGCTGTTGAACCCAAAACCCAAACCCTAGAGTCCCTAGTCCCTACCGCATGGCTCCACTGATGGGAAGGGCAACAGGCAGCTCTCCCATGTGGGTTGGGAAGTCAGGGTGCCCTTGGGAGATGGTGATTAGAGGGGGCACCAGGAGGGCACCGGGCTTCTGGAGGGACTGACAATGTCCCATTTATTTCTTTTGTTCTTTTTTAAGATTTTATTGACGTAAATTAAAACAATGTTGTTTTAATTTCTGCTGTTCAGCAAAGTGACTCAGTTATACATACATATTCTTTTTCATATTATTTTCCATTATGGTTTGTCACAGGGATATTGAATATAGTTCCCTGTGCAATACAGTAGGACCTTGTTGTTTATCCATTCTCTATGTAATAGTTTGCATCTGCTAATCCCAAACTGTCAATCCTTCCCTCTCCCACCTCCCTCCCCCTTGGCAACCACAAGTCTGTTCTCTATGTCTGTGAGTCTGTTTCTGTTTTGTAGATACGTTCATTTGTGTTGTATTTTAGATTCCACATATAAGTGATATCATGATATTTGTCTTTCTTTGATTTACTTCACTCAGTATGATAATCTCTAGGTCCATCCATGTTGCTGCAAAGACAATGTCCCTTTTTTTTTAAAATTAATTTATTTTATTTTATTTTTTTTTTGGCTGCGTTGGGTCTTTGTTGCTGCACGCGGGCTTTCTCTAGTTGCGGCAACCAGGGGCTACTCTTCGTTGCGGTGCGCGGGCTTCTCATTGCAGTGGCTTCTCTTGTTGCGGAGCACGGGCTCTAGGTGCGCGGGCTTCAGTAGTTGTGGCACGTGGGCTCAGTAGTGTGGCTCTCGGGCTCTAGAATGCAGGCTCAGTAGTTGTGGCGCATGGGCCTAGGTGCTTCGCAGCATGTGGGAGCTTCCTGGACCAGGGCTCGAACCCATGTCCCCTGCGTTGGCAGGCGGATTCTTAACCACTGCACCACCAGGGAAGTCCCAATGTCCCATTCTTGATCTGTGTGAGGTTTGCCTGGGTGGGTTCCACATTATGATAAGGAACTTTTCAGTGTCTATATTAAACTTCAATAAAAACTGAAAAAGAAAAAAAAAAAAAGAGCAGTACAGCATCTTGGAATCTTCAGGGAGAACTTTCAATTGACTGACTCATGGCTTATTTTCTTGCTGGAACAATAATATCAAAATCAAGATTACATTTAATTTAATGTGAGATGATTAAATGTGGCCATTCCACCAAGTGCTTATTAATATTCAGATGCACATTGTATTTTCTAAATGAAATCAGAGTCCATAAACCCAAGTAGGATGCTGAGATCTATACACAGGTAATTGATATGGATAAGTTCTCTCCATGAGAGTTTTTCTTCCTGTACAAGGGCAGAGCTGTGCACTTAAGGAAAACCAGACACAAACAGCCCGAGCCCTTGAGGGTCACAGGCTCTGTGGTTTCAGGTGAGTGGGAAGCCAGAGAGCTGTAAGAAGAGATAACGGAGCGAGATGGTGTGTATGAACAGCTCCTTTGGGTCGGCCCAGAAACTGGGTGGGGATTCTGGCGCTCTCCAGGCCACCCTGCCCATCACACTGAGATCCTAGAGGTCCCTGCTATCTGTGTCCACAGCGCCCCCTGGCAGCCTTCCCGGCCCCTCCCACCCCTCCAGTTGTGCTGGGAGACTGTCCATCAGCCGTCCAGCTTTGGGCTGGGTCCCACGTGTGGTCATTGCATCCGAGCTTGCACACACGTGGTCTGTGTCCTGCGCCGTCCGAAATAGACAAGACCCACAGCATAGTGGTCTCCTCTGAGGTGGTCCACAGAGATGCGAGGGAGGCTGGGAGGTGACACCTGGCCTCAGTGGTCCTAGGCATGCTCCTGGCTCCACTCTGCTGGACTCCTGGCCCAGTCCTGGTGCTGGGATAGCACGGAGGCTTCAGCCGTGTGGCTCGAGGATCAGAACGGGGGTCTGAGGGCTGTGCCTGGACAGGCGGAGGCTGGGGCCTGGGTGGAGCTGCACCCACCCTCCAGGGCCCGTGGGGAGCCAGCCTGGAGCAGCGGGCCCTGCAGCTCTGCTCAGCCTCTCCCCAGGGTCCTGTGGCTGCTGTTTGTGATATGGAGAGCACCTCTGCTTGAGCGTGTGGGGTCCCAGTACATTGTCCGTGGTTGGGATTTTAAGAGGGGGTCACATCTGTGGGTGGTGTGGTTCAGAAGTCTAGAAACGCAAATTCGCTGAGCCTAGTGAGTGCCCTCCAGCTGCACCTCCTGCAGCCTCCCTGACCGGACCGTCTGCAGTGCATCTCCCTGGCTCCCCTCTTACGTGGCCAGTGGGTGGAGGAGGGTGTGGGCCTGGGCCAGGAGCAGCTTTGCCCTGGATGGTTAGCTAGGGAGCTGGACCTCTGCCAGAGGCCTGCCTGCCTCTTGCTGGCCTGAGGGCTGCTCCTGGCAGCCTGGCCACCCCGGGGACATCGGGACAGCTCAGAAGGAGACATTTCAGCGTGTGCAGAGGGAAAAGCGCCACGCTGGGTTCTTGCACACTGGAAACGGGGCGGAGGAGGTTGGACCCTCAGGGAGCTTTTGATTTGTGTGAGATAAGAAGAAAGGGCCAGTTACCGGAAAGGGATTGAAGCCGGGTCACCTTTAAGGAGCTTGGAAGGAAGTGTTTGGCCTTGGTAACGGTGTCGCGATGTGGTTCGAGATTCTCCCCAGGATCGCCATCATGGCCGCGTGCTTATTCATTCCGGGAATGGCCACTGCACGCATCCACAGGTTCACTCACGGGGGCAAGGAAAAAAGGGTTGCCCATTATTCATATCAGTGGAATTTGATGGAAAGAGATAGGCGCCTCTCTGGAGTTAATCGTTACTATGTGTCAAAGGGTTTGGAGAACATTGATTAAGGAAGCATTTTCTTTTTTTTTTTTTTTTGCGGTTCGCGGGCCTCTCAACTGTCGTGGCCTCTCCCATCGAGGAGCACAGGCTCCGGACGCGCAGGCCCAGCGGCCATGGGTCACGGGCCCAGCCGCTCCGCGGCACGTGGGACCCTCCCGGACCGGGGCACGAACCCTCATCCCCTGCACCGGCAGGCGGACTCCCAACCACCGCGCCACCAGGGAAGCACAAGGAAGCATTTTCTTGATTGATGAAAAATAACTCAGTTATGCTTGTCTACCCCTGCTAGAAGGTTATGCAGTGTATTTTGTAGTGTGTAATAAAAATAAAACAAAAAAGTAAAATAAAAAAAAAAAAAAAAGAAGAAGAAAGGGCCAAATGGGGCTTCTGTGGGGTGTGGCCACAAAGGGAGATTCGGGTCTGCAGGAGGTGGTCCCTGCTGGTGTTGACTAACAGAAATGAGGGGGGACGGAACTCCCCCCTCGTCAAGCGTGGGCTGTACCTGGTAACGTCCTTCCAAAGAGCACAGCCTGGAAAAGGGGAAACAGAGGAACTTGACAGTGGAGAAACCTGATAACCCCTCCTCGGCCACGGGATCCAGGTCCACCAGCAGTGATGCGTCGCCTTGATGGTGTGCCCCTGCATGGGATGTGATGGGGATGGCTCTTCAGCTCTGTGGCCTTTCTGCCCAAACCCCAAAACTTCTATCTAATCACAAGGAAAACAGCAGTTCAATGCCAGCAGAGGGGCGTTCTATCAAATACCTGAGCAGCACTCCTTAGAACAGATGAAACCGTAGTTTCACCAAACTCTGAGAATCTGTCACAGCCAAGAGAAGCCGAAGGAGACAGGATGTTTAAATAGAATGGGTGGGATCCTGGAGCAGATAAAGGACACTGGGTTAAAACCAGGGAAACGTCAATAGAACGTAACCTTGGTTAGCAGTAACACACCGATATTGGTTCATTAACTGTAACAAATGTGCGACTTGGATGTAAGATTTAATGACTGGGTAAATCAGATGTGAGGGTATTCTATGGGAACTCTGTACGATCTGCACAATTTGTTTGTAGGTCTACAACTATTTAGAAAAAAAATGTCTTTTGAAAGAAATTGGAGGGCAGTTTGAGTCCCGTCACCCCGGGGTTCCTGGCAGTGGGACCTGGGCTCAGAGCCTTGCTGTCCATCCCCCTGCCCCCGTCCAGCTCCAGACCCTTGGCTTTGTCGTCCCTGTTGGTCTTCCTTCTTTCCTCTCCACATGGAACCTGAGGGAAAGTTCAGTCCAGTATTTAGAATAGATTTTTTTAATGCCCCAGATTTCTGGGTGCTTGGAAAGAACCAGCTTCTCAGATGCAGTCTGCGTGGGTGCTGGGGGCCATCCCCAGGTGAGATAAGCCCCCCGGTAAGCTTGCAGGCACCCTGCCCAGGTTTCCTCTGTCTGACAACTCCAGAAAGCAGCGCCCTGGGCCTCTGCTTCCTTCTTTTTTTTAAAAAAATTTTTTTTTAAATAAAAATTGAAGTATAGTTGAGTTACAATGTTGTGTTAATTTCTGCTGTACAGCTCAGTGCTTTGTGACCACCTAGAGGGGTGGGATAGGGAGGGTGGGAGGGAGGGAGACGCAAGAGGGAAGAGATATGGGAACATATGTATATGTATAACTGATTCACTTTGTTATGAAGCAGAAACTAACACACCATTGTAAAGCAATTATACTCCGATAAGGATGTTAAAAAAAAATTTCTGCTGTACAACACAGTGATTTACATGTATGTGTGTATATATATATATATATATACACATTCTTTTCTTTATATTCTTTTCCATTATGGTTTATCACTGGGTACTGAATATAGTTCTCTGTGCTGTTCAGTAGGACCCTGTTGTTTATCCATATATAATAGTTTGCCTCTGTTAATCCCAAACTCCCACTCCACCCATCCCCCAGCTCCCTCCCCCTTGTCAACCACAAGTCTGTTCTCTATGTCCATGAGTCTGTTTCTGTTTCAAAGATAAGTTCATCTGTGTCATGTTATAGATTCCACGTATAAGTGACATCATATGGTAATTGTCTTTCTGACTTGTTTTGCTTAGTATGATCATCTCTAGTTGCATTCATGTTGCTGCAAATGGCATTATTCCTTTCTTTTTTATGGTATCCCTTTGTATATACGTACCACGTCTTCATTATCCATTCATCTGTCGACAGACATTTAAGTTGTTTGCATGTCTTGACTGTTGTAAGTAGTGCTGCTATGAATATAGGGGTGCATGTATCTTTTCGAATCAGAGTTTTCTCTGGATATATATGCCCAGGAATGGGATCACTGGATCATATGGCAACTCTATTTTTATTTTTTTGAGGAACCTCCATACTGTTCTCCATAGTGGCTGTATCAATTTACATTCCCACCAACAGTGCAGGAGGATTCCCTTTTCTCCACACCCTCTCCAGCATTTATTGTTTGTAAATTTTGGAGGGATGGCCATTCTGACCTGTGTGAGGTGATACCTCATTGTAGTTTTGCTTTGCATTTCTCTCATGATTTCTGCTCCCTTCTTATGTGTTGAGGTCCTGAGACGGCTGCCCTCCCCTGATCAGCCCTGGGTCACTTCTGTGAGTGACCAGTGACCATTTTTTTAGGGGGTGACATTGCTCACAGCCGACATCATGGACCAAAGCTGATGTGTGTGCGGTTGGCAGTTCAGCCAGGAGGCAAAAGGGAGCTGAGCGTCTGTGTTTCTGGGCTGGCTGAGGCTTCATGGCCAGCGCTGAGTAGGTGGTCGGGACAGCTGTGTTTCCACAGGAAGGGTGGCCTGGTGGGGACACGGGAAAACAGGTCCAGCCGGCAGCTGGAACCCTGGTTTGGGGTAATTACATCTTCTTTAACTTTTGTAATGGTCACTTCCAGTATTTTTGGAGGAGGTGCAGGATTCAGAGGAAGGAGTGAGCCCTGCAGGGGAGGAGAAGCCCAGTCAGGACCCCGTTTTGTAAATGAGCCCAAACAGTAAGGATGGAGGGTGGGAAGGGCTTGTCTGGACCCGGCCTGCCTGCCGAAGCCCACCGCACGCTTTGCAAGATGACGTGAGTTACAGATGAGATGATCCTCGCACAGGGTTACGGTGGCATTGGGCACGTGGGAGGCGCTCGGCGTGGTGGGGCTGGTGTCTCCTGGGGGAACGGGGGACCTGCACCGAGAGGGTCAGTCAGTCACGGCCCCTCACAAGTCCCTGAGAGGAAATGATTCCTGTGGGTCTCACGGCTCATCTGGATGTTAGGACAAGATCATGTTGAACCCTATGAAACGGCTGTTTTTGTTAAGTCAGAAGTGGTCGAATATAAGCAGCGTCATATGGCTTAATGCAGTTGTTTAGTATTAAAGCAGTTTTGGGCAAGAGAGAACACTTTTTCTTTTAACAACTTTAGTTATCGCAAGCCTCCCAGTTCATTGTATTAGAAAACAGAGATCAGCAAACAGGAAACTTAGACATCCTGGATTTTTCCTGCAGTGGGGGGTGGGGGGAGGCATTGTTCACGCGGGTTCTTCTGTGTGCTTGGCACGTGCACAGCTGCCCACACGCCTCCCCCTCCGCTGCGCCGGGGGCCTCTTTCTTCGACCCGCAGCGATGGGAGTTTGTCCGTCGTGCACTGACCCATGCCCCTTGCTTGGACATTGGGCTTGTTTAGAATGTTTTTCTGCCCTGAACGATGCTGTCATAAACACCCTGTAGCTCTGTTTTTCTTTTTTCTAAAATTTATTTATTTATTTATTTATTTTTGGCTGTGTTGAGTCTTAGTTGCGGCACACCGGCTTTCTCTAGCTGCGGCGAGCGGGGGCTGTTCTTTGTTTCGGTGCACGAGCTTCTCATTGCCGTGGCTTCTCTTGTTGCGGAGCACAGGCTCTAGGCACGCGGGCTTCAGTAGTTGTGGCACGTGGGCTCAGTAGTTGTGGCTTGCGGGCTCTAGAGCGCAGGCTCAGTAGTTGTGGCTTGTGGGCTCTAGAGCGCAGGCTCAGTAGTTGTGGCGCACGGGCTTAGTTGCTCCGCGGCATGTGGGATCTTCCTGGACCAGGGCTCGAACCAGTGTCCCCTGCCTTGGCAGGCGGATTCTTAACCACTGTGCCACCAGGGAAGCCTTTTTCTTTTTCAGCAGATCCCCATGATTCTTTCCTTATGGTATATTTCCAGAAGTAGAATGGCTGGGCCTAATGTGAAGGCTGCAGATTGACCTCCAGAAAGGCTCCATCGCCCACAGACCCTGTGTGAGGGGGAGGGCCTGCCTTGCTTCTCTCCCTTCCCCTTTCCTGTCCTCTGCCTCCTCCCTCCCCTCTCTCCCCAGCCCTCCCTTCTCTCTCCCTCTCTTGTCCTCCTCAGGAACATTCTCTCTCTCCTCCTCCCCTCCCTCTCCCCCTCCCCTCCCCCTGCTCCTCCCCCTCCCCTCCCCCTCCCTCTCCCTCCTTTGATGCTGCACCACTGAGCAGGGGTCCAGCAAATAGCATTCCAGCTGACCACCCTGGGGGGCCTCCCAGCACACAGGCTCCCTAGGGCCCCTGGTCTGGGGTTTGCTTTTGGGGTTTTGAGGGGAAACCAAGAACCCATGGGGGAGCCTGCGGGGAGCTTCAGAGGCTTGCCTGTGACACACAGGCTGATCCTGAGGTGTGATAACATTCTTCTAGGGAGACATCCCTTCCCTGAGAGCACCCCACCCCCATGCCGGGGGTGCTGGGGCGCTGACCCCATGGGCGGGAACCCGAACCCTGGGCTCACAAGCCATTATTTATTTAACAAATACCTTATTTCCCTGGCGATTTGGCAAATGGATTGACGCCAGGCCCTCTTCCTGAACCACCTGGGACCACCCGGTGCATGAGTCAGGCTGGTCGCCACCATGGGGCCCTTGGCCTGGTGTCCTGTTCCCCCGACGCCGTTGGCTGCCCTGAGAATCCAGGGAGAAGCTGCTGCCAGATCCGGCGGCCCCAGGAGGGTCTTTGTCCTCCTTTCACAGAAGCAGTAGAT